ACAAAACAAGCAAACAGATAAAAAACCCCACAAATTTTGCAAACTTGGTGGTTGATTAAATGTCCTTTGACCAGCATCTGGCCACTTGGAGTGACTCTGGTGTTGCCGCAAGAAGGTCCTCCATTGTGCATGTAGCAGGGCTCAGGTTGCATTGCAGCAGGTTGTCTGTGGTTTGCTCTTCTCCGCACACGCATGTCACGGATCCACTTTGAGCCCCATTTCTTAAGGTTGGCTCTGCATCTTGTGGTGCCAGAGTGTAGTCTGTTCAGCACCTTCTAAGTTGCCCAGTCTTCTGTGTGCCCAGAAGGGAGTCTCTCATCTGGTATCACCCACGGATTGAGGTTCTGGGTTTGAGCCTGCCACTTTTGAACTCTCGCTTGCTGAGGTGTTCCAGCGAGTGTCTCTGTAGATCTAAGAAAACTATTTCTTGATTTAAGTCGTTGACGTTCTGGCTGATACCCAAACAAGGGATGAACTGGAGATGTCTCTGCCTTGGTCCTTTCACTATTGGCTGCAACTTCCTGGCGGATGTCAGGTGGTGCAATACCGGCTAAGCAGTGTAATTTCTCCAGTGGTGTAGGGCGCAGACACCCCTGTGATAATGTGGCATGTCTCATTAAGAGCCACATCCACTGTTTTAGTGTGGTGAGATGTGTTCCACACTGGGCATGCGTACTCAGCAGCAGAGTAGCATAGCGCAAGGGCAGATGTCTTCACTGTGTCTGGTTGTGATCCCCATTGGTGCCAGTCAGCTTTCGTATGATATTGTTTCTAGCACCCACTTTTTGCTTGATGTTCAGGCAGTGCTTCTTGTAGGTCAGAGCACGGTCCAGAGTGACTCCCAGGTATTTGGGTGTGCTGCAATGCTCCAATGGGATTCCTTCCCAGGTAATCCTCAGAGCTCGGGGTGCTTGTCTGTTCTTAAGGTGAAAGGCACATGTCTGTGTTTTAGATGGATTAGGGATCAGTTGGTTTTCCCTGTAATAGGCAGTAAGAGCACCTAGAGCTTCGGAGAGCTTCTGTTCAACCATCTCAAAGCTCCCTGCTTGAGCAGTAATGGCACGATCATCAGCATAGATGAAACTCTCTGTCCCTTCTGGCAGTGGCTGGTCATTTGTGTAAATGTTGAACATTGATGGAGCAAGCACGCTCCCCTGAGGCAGGCCGTTCTTCTGTTTCCGCCATCTGCTTCTCTGGCCCTGGAACTCAACAAAAAAGCTCCTGTTTTGTAGCAGGTTTCCTATGAAGAGGGTGAGGTGGTCGTCCTTTGTGATGTTATACATTTTTCTCAGGAGGAGGCAATGGTTTACAGTATCACAAGCCGCTGACAGGTCTATGAAGACAGCTCCTGTGATCTGCTGCCTTTCAAAGCCATCTTCTATGTGCTGAGTCAGGTTCAGCACTTGCGATGTGCAGCTTTTGCCTTTCCTGTGGGATCAGACAGGGGTCTATTTTTTCCATAATTCTATGCAAAATAAGTCTCTCCAGAACTTTGTAGGTGGCACAACAGGGAGATTGGTCTGTAACTTTTTGGATCATTACGGTCTTTGCCTGGCTTCAAGATGGCGATGACTCTTGCTTTCCTCCAGATTTTGGGGATCTGATAGGATGCAGTGCAGTTGTTCATCAGCTCCAGCAGCCAGCACCTTGCTTTTGGACCAAAGTTCTTGATTTGTTCCATCCGTAGATCATCCAAGCCAGCTGCTTTGCCATTCTTACGTTTATTGAGAGCCATGTCCAATTCAGTAGTTGTAAAGGGTTCATGAAGGTTGTTGTTCTCAATCTCTTGTTGTCTGGCTATTGGTTTCTTTCCTACTTTGGTGGCAAGGTTGGGTTTCCCATTCTTCAAGAGTTGGTGTGCTATCTGATCTGCCTTTATGTTGGCATGGGTATTAGTTTGCTGAGTCACCACTAGTTTTTCCTCCTCTAACTCAGTTGTTGCCTATGTTTCAGATGTGTATAACATTGCCTGTAAAACTATAGTGTTGAAGATATCTGCTCTGTCCTTCAAGTTTATAAGAGGGTTTAATTATAAATTAATAAGAGTACAGTCTTTTACCTCCAGACTAAATGGTATTTCAATAGAGGCAGCACAGTCCTAAATACCAGCTTCCAATGGATTATTGGCTCTCTAAATACCCTGCCTGTAAGCTTTCATGGCACATGTGGGTACTATTGCAAAATGAATGGTGGATTAGACTGATACCTGAAACGATCCAGGTGTTTTTAATTGAATGCAACTGCTCTGGGCACACAGGAGGTCATAGCTGGGGAGGTTGTTTTGTTCTTCCCTACTATAATCTGCCACTGACTCACCCAGAGTAACTAGCATTTATCTTTCTTGTCTTCTGAAGTAGGATTTTTCCAGGACTGTAGAATGAGGAGAAAGATACATTTCAAGCCATGATTCAGCCTGCCACTGTTATTTACTTGACAAAAATGTAAATGAAATGCCTCAATTTGCTCTTTACCTACAAACATCGCAGTGCATTCACTTCAGCTCTGAGCCATAGACAAGCTTACCACAGCACGCTCATGAGCAGCTAAGGGTGGAGCAGCTAAGATACTGACTTAACCAGTTGGTTCCCTTCATCCTCACTTATCTCTCTCATTTCCCAGGGAGATCTGTGGAGTTTAATACTGGGTAAGCACTCCCACCTCATCCCAACCCCAACCCAACCTGAATGGTACCTAAAATGGGTGAGGTGATGGGGCAAACACCAGTCCTAAATAACCAGTACATCCTCTTTGCCAAGCATGTCCCAATTCTAAGCATTAGGTTCCTGTGCCAGGCTGAAATCTTCTGTTGCTTTATATCAGCAGTCCTCAAACTAAGGCCTGGAGGCCAGATGCGGCCCTCCAAAGTCATTTACCCGGCCCTCACTCAGGGTCAACCTAAGTCTGAAAGGACTTGAAAGCACACAATTTATTTATTTATTTATTTGGGGTGCTTCTACCCCGCCCTTCTCAACCCCCTAGGGGGGACTCAGAGCGGCTTACAAAAGGCACAATTCGATGCCCAACAATTCACAAAATTCAATATACAAAATTACAATATAACAACAAAAATCCTATCTCATCAGCCAAAAGCAGGCTCACACTTCCCATTGAAATATATTTGTTAAAATTGTTTATTTTAATTATTGTATTGTTTTTAAGTTTTTTGCACTACAGATATGTGCAGTGAGCATAGGAATTCATTCATATTTTTTTTTCAAATTATAATCCAGCCCTCCAACAGTTTGAGAAACTGAGATCTGGCCCTCTGTTTAAAAAGCTTGTTCAATGGACAAAAATTCTGGGAGTTGGGAGGCCCAAACAGCTGGAGGATCACAGTTTGAGTAGGCTTGCCCAAAATAAACCTTGATTTTGCAGTTTTATATAAGGAATGACATTTTATTACAACAATGGATGTATATAATTGGACTTGGGCATCCAAAAACCAAATCATACAGCCTAGCATTTCCTAGGGGAAATGTAACCTAAAATAGGTAAAGAAGTAGTCCAGGAATACCTGGCTGCTCTAAATAAATTCAAGTCTCCAGGGCCAGATGAACTACATCCAAGAGAATTGAAGGAATTAATAGAAGTTGTTTCAGAACCACTGCCAATACTTTTTGGGAATTCTTGGAGAATAGTAGAAGTCCCCTGTGCTGGCAGGACTGAAGACCGACAGGTCGCAGGTTCGAATCCGGGGAGAGGCGGATGAGCTCCCTCTACCAGCTCCAGCTCCTCAAGCAGGGACATGGGAGAAGCCTCCCACAAGGATGATAAAACATCAAAACATCCGGCTGTCTTTGATTATACCATTAGTATTGTATAATATACTAGCCGTCCCCTGCCATGCGTTGCTGTGACCCAGTCTGGTGATCTGGAAAATAAAGTAATGAGAAAGTGTTGGTTTCTAATATATGTAATTTCTTTATGTTTGTGGGCAAAGTCTTTCTTGTTGTTTCTTTGTCAGTGTTGATATGGAGAGTGTCTGGTTTGCCTACTCTGGAACATGCAACATATAATTGTCCTTCTTTAGGGGACCCTTTCAAATCTATGATACTATATTTGTGTGTGTGAATCATATCTATCTATATCTATGGCTAGATGGCCTTAAGTATTTTCTGTTGGTCATGGGGGTTGTGTGTGGGACGTTTGCCCCAATTCTGTCATTTGTGGGATTCAGAATGCTCTTTGACTGTGGGTGAACTATAAATCCCAGTAACTACAAATCCCAAATATCAAGGTCTATTTTCCCCAAACTCCATCTGTGTTCATATTTGGGCACATGAAGTATTCGTGCCAAGTTTGGTCCAGATCCATCATTGTTTGAGTCTTGATATAGGTGAACTACAACTCCCAAACTCAGGGTCAATGCCCACCAAACACTTCCAGTATTTCCTGATGGTCATAGGAGTTCTGTGTGCCAAGTTTGGTTCAATTCCATCACTGATGGAGTTCAGAATGCTCTTTGATTGTAGGTGAACTGTGAATCTCAGCAACTACAACTCCCAAATGACAAAATCATAATTTTTTGAGTGATGGTCACTCCTTGTGTTGTGATACGTTTTGTTGCCAAATTTGGTGTGATTTCGTTCATTGGTTCTTTTGTTTTTAAGGTACTCATTATGCACAGAGTATTTTTTTTATATATAGATGAGTTTTATTGTGATATCTGTATTTTGCTGTTGTTGGCGGCCTTGGCCTTTGTAAGCCGCATCGAGTCCTTCGGGAGATTTTGCGGAGTATAAATAAAGTTAATAAAGAAATAATAAATAAATAAACAAAACAGGCAGAAAGGGAAAGTCTGCAGCAAGAAGGACTCTCACCTTTGTACACCCCTTAAAACGGCGCGGGAAGATGACGTTGGGCGGCTACCCGGAAGCTTCATCCGCGGAGCCTGCGCAACAGGGGAAGCCACGAGCCTTTCCGGCAGCTGCGCATGCGCCGAAAAGGGACTGACGGAAAGAGCCAGAGAGGGAAAAAAGGAGAGCCGAGTTGCGTGGGGTCCCGGAAATCTCGCGAGGGTTTCGTCACGCAGCCTCACTTCCCTCCTTCCTGCCTTCCTCGCGCGACGGCTCTGGAGGTGACCGGCGGTGAGGGAAAGAGAGAGAGAGAAAGAGGCAGACGTGACGATGGAGCTCCCGCCGCTTCCCCCTCCTCCGGCCCCCGAGGAGAAAGGCAGCGGGGCTGAGGAGGAGGAGGAGGGGAAGCCCGCCTCCCCGGCCACCGCGGAAGGGCTGGCACGCGTCTGCGACCTCCGCGTCCAGGGAGAGGAGCCGCCTCAACAGGAGCAGCCAAGCCCGCTGTCGCCTCTTCTCCCTCAGCCGCCGCCGAAGCGGACCTGGACTCGACGCCGACGGCAGCACCAGCAGCAGCAGCAAGATAGGCCTCCCGGAGTGGAAGGCGGCGGGGGCAACAGCAGTAGCAGCAGCAGCGAAAGCAGCGAGGAGGAGGAAGAGGAGGAGGAAGAAGAGGAGGAGGAGGACGACGAGGAAGACGAAGACGAGGACGACGACGAGGAGGAGGAAGAGGACGAGGAAGAGGAGGAGGAAGAAGAGGAGGACGAGGAAGTGTCTGAGGTAATCCACTCTTCAGGGTTAGCTTCTTGCTTTCTGGAAGAGGAGCCTGGCCTAGTTACCTAACCTACGCACATCTCCATTGGCATGTAACAGAGTTTGGAAACTGCATTATATCACTTCACTTTGTTTCTTAACTAGCTTGGGTACCTGGTGATGTCCAGGTTATTTTATTTATTTAGTTATTATTCAAACTTATATGCCGCCACTCCCCAGGGGCTCGGAGCGGTTAACAAGAGTGGCTAAAATCTAACACAATTTATAAACAGCAATATCAAAAATCAAAGTCCTGTCGAAACAGGTATGTCTTACATGCCCTGCGGAAAGCTGATAAGTTCCGCAAGGCACGGACTTCAGGTGGCAGAGTATTCCAGAGTGATGGTGCCACTGCTGTGATGAAGGCTCTGCGTCTGGTTGCTGTGAGACGCAAGGTCTTGACACCGGGAATTTCCAACAAGATCTTGGTCCTCAGAACGGAGGGATCTCTGGGGTTGGTAGGGGGTGAGGCGGTCCCTCAGGTACATCGGCCCCAGACCATGCAAGGCCTTAAAGGTGAGTACCATCACTTTGAAAGTGATCCGGTGCTCAATTGGTAACCAGTGCAGCTGTAGTAAGATTGGTGTTATGTGGCATCTCATCGGAATTCCCGCAAGAAGCCGAGCAGCTGCATTTTGTACCAACTTGAGCTTCCGGATCACCGACAGAGGAAGGCCAATGTAGAGGGCGTTACAGTAGTCCAGTCTTGAGATGACCGTAGCCTGGATCACCGTAGCTAGGTCGTCCCTGGACAAGTAGGGGGGCAGCTGTCTAGCCTGCCGCAGATGAAAAAAGGCAGTTCTGCTAACGGCGGAGACCTGGGCCTCCATCGTCAGCAGAGGGTCCAAAAGGACTCCCAGACTCTTTACCAATGATGACGGGCGTAGCACCTAGCCATCCAGGGTAGGCAGCTGGATATCATCACTGCCCGGTTGAATATAATTAAACCCTCTTATAAACTTGAAGGACAGAGCAGATATCTTCAACACTATAGTTTTACTGGCAATGTTATACACATCTGAAACTTAGGCAACAACTGAGGTAGAGTAGTAGTCCAGTCTTGAGATGACCATAGCCGGGATCACCGTAGCTAGGTCGTCCCTGGACAGGTAGGGGGCCAGCCGTTATTTGAGAAAGGCATTGTTTGTTTTGGGGTGTTAGGTAATACCATTTAGTAACATGATTTATTAGGGAAAAAAGCCAATTTTTGATATTGTCCCCTGTCCATCCTCTCCCAAAACTCACCAGGATATAAAGTACGTCATGGAGAGTCTGTTTGGTAAGTTTGCTCCAGGTCCGTCATTCGTGGGGGTCGCAGTGGCCTCAGGATGTAGATGAAGGTACTGCAAATCCCATCATTTGTGGTCCATCCTTCCCCAAAACATACAGTAGATCATGGGAGGGGGTCTTTGTGGCATGTGTGGTCCAGGTCCATCATTTGTGGGGGTCACAGTTATCTCAGGAAGTGAGTGAAGGTACTGCAAATCCCATCATCTGTGGCAAGTGTGATCCAGATCCATCGGTTGGGTTCACAGTGCTGTCTATAATAATAATAATAGTAATAATAACACTTTATTTGTACCCCGCTACCATCTCCCCAGGGGACTTGGTGCAGCTTACATGAGGCCAAGCCCGCAATACATCAATAAACAGAACATCAATAAAATAAAACATCAATAAACAAAACAATGCAATATGAATCATAATCACATGAACAAAATGGACAAAAGCAATCAACGGTACATATAGACATTTAAAACCAAAGGCCGGGCCAAATGTGATAAATTAAAATTAAAAATAGTGCTGATGTGAACCAGGTAGGATATAATTGGGATAGGATTTTTAGAGAGAATGAGGGCATGCAGTCTGGATGTAGGTGAACTACAACTCTAAGAAATCAAGGTCACTTCCCCCCAAATCTCTTGCTCTGTTGGCGATCAATTCCTGTTTGTTGTGTGCCATAGGAAAGGCAGTGGGAGGAGTCATGCAAATTGCACACCGAGAGAGAAAGGAACCGTGGGATGTCCATTCTGGAGGAAAAACAGAACATCTAGAATAACATTGTCCCTGAATGAAAGCCTTCACTTGGGTGGTGGGCAGTGTGGTGTTTGGGGAGCACATTGGCAGGGTTTGGGAGAAATGTTCATGGTGCTCACTATAACCTGAAATGTCCTTGTAGGGAGTGCTTTGGTGGCTCTTCAGCACTGTGGGTTATAGCTGTTTGTGGAGGCAGGAGGCTGTGTAAGTGGACACCTGTGCCATATGCACACATACACATATTTTCACTTTTATTATGTATATAGATTAGTCACTCTCCATCAAGGTGCTCCGAGCAACTTGCAATTTGAGAAAGCATTTCACAATATAAAAAAAAACATTCAACATAAAAACATTCAACAGTGACTATTTGGCAAATTAGATCTGATTACTTAAATGCACAACCAAACAGCCAAGTCTTGAGTGCCTTTACAAAAGGTTGCAACTCTGACATTGCTCTAATGTATGGAGGCAATGAGTTCCACAGAATTGGAGCATAGGTCGAAAAAGCTCTACGCCTTGTAGCTTCCAGGTGTACCTCCCTAGGGCCCGGTATGTATAGGAGATTTTCCTGGGTGGATCGAGGTGACCACTGATGGAGAAAAGGAATGAGGCGGTCCCAAAGATATAAAGGTCCTTGGCCATTATTGTTATTATCTTGGAGTCTTCGAGGACAACAAGTTGAACCTGAGCCAGCTATGTGATGCAGCAGCTAAAAAAGCCAATGGGATTCTGGGCTGTATCAAAAGGAATCTAGTGTCTAGATCAGGCATGGGTAAACTTCCTACCACCAGGTATTTGGGACCCCAGCTCTGTTAGGCTGTTTCTCGGGATTGTGGGAGTTGAAGTCCTAAACACCTGATGGGATTCTTTTGTTATGTCAGGAGCAACTTGAGAAACTGCAAGTCGTTTCTAGTGTGAGAGAATTGGCCGTCTGCAAGGACGTTGCCCAGGGGACGCCAGGATGATTTGATGTTTTTATCATCCTTGTGGGAGGCTTCTCTCATGTCCCCACATGAGGAGCTGGAGCTGATAGAGGGAGCTCATCCGCCTCTCCCCGGATTCGAACCTGCGACCTGTCGGTCTTCAGTCCTACTGGCACATGGGTTTAACCCACTGTGCCACTGGGGGCACCTGAAGGGATGAAATTTGCCCATGCCTGGTCACACTTGAGCATTTATTTACTCTCATCCACTTTAAATGTTGTGACTACCTCCTGCAGAATTCTGGAGTTTGTGGTTTAGGGCTTCTCTGGATGAGTAGTTGAAAGGCCCCTCCCTAAACTACACATGCCAGAATTCTGCAGGAGGCAGTCACAGTATTTAAAGTGGATTGAAGTGGGTGTGCTTACAGAGCTGAGCCAAGGGTGTTATGCAGCAGCTAAAAAACCCAGTGGGATTTTGGGCTGTATCGAAAGGACTATAGCAGGGGTCCTCAAACTAAGGCCCGGGAACCAGATACGGCCCTCCAAGGTCATTTACCTGGCCCGCTCAGGGTCAACCTAAGTCTGAAATGACTTGAAAGCACACAACAACAACAACCCTATCTCATCAGCCAAAAGCAGGCCCACACTTCCCATTGAAATATATTTGTTAAAATTGTTCTTCATTTTAATTATTGCATTGTTTTTAAGTATTTATTTTTTTTGCACTACAAATAAGATATGTGCCATGAGCATAGGAATTCATGTTTTTTTCAAATTATAATCCGGCCCTCCAACAGTTTGAGAGATTGAGATCTGGCCCTCTGTTTAAAAAGTTTGTGGACCCCTGGACTATAGTGTCTGGATCAGGCATGTTGAGGATTGTGGGAGTTGAAATTCAAAACAACTGGCGGGACAAAGTTTGCCCATGCCTGGTCTAGAGGCCTCATCACACGAGTATTTATCCATTTTAATCCGCTTTAAATGCTGTGACTGCCTCCTGCAGAATTCTGGGGTTTGTAGTTTTGGAATGGCCAAGGCTTTTCTGGATGAGCCATTTAAAAGCCCCTCCCTAAACTATGCAATGCAGGAGGCAGGCACAACATTGAACGTGGATTAAAGAGGGTGTGCTTATCAGTTTTGCAGATGACACCAAATTAGGAGGAATAGCTAATACTAGTCAAATGTGGGCTAGGCAATGCTACAGTTAGGTGTATCTGTAATTAGTCAAGCAACTGAATCTAAAGGGTGCTGACCAACAGTTCCACTTCATCCTGGAAAGAAGTGTCTAGTAGAGTGCCGCAGGGTTCGGTCCTGGGCCCAGTACTGTTCAACATCTTTATTAATGATTTAGGTAAGGCTTATCAAGTTTGCAGATGACACCAAATTAGGAGTGATAGGTAATACTCCAGAGGACAGGATCAGAATTCAAAATGACTTTAACAGATTAGAGAGCTGGGCCAAAATTAACAAAATGAATTCAAATAAGGACAAATGTAAGATACTCCACTTAGGCAGAAAAAATGAAATGCAAAAATACGGAATGGGTGATGCCTTGCTTGACAACAGTCCATGAGAAAAAGATCTTTGAGTCTTAGTGGTCAACAAGTTTAACATGAGCCAATAGTGTGAAGCAACAGCTAAAAAAGCAATGTGATTTTGGGCTGCATCGAAAGGAGTATAGTGTCTAGGTCAGGGGTCCTCAAACGTTTTAAACAGAGGGCCAGGTCACAGTCCCTCAAACTGTTGGAGGGCCAGATTATAATTTGGAAAAAAAATGAATGAATTCCTATTCACACTGCACATATCTTATTTGTAGTGCAAAACACTTAAAAACAATACAATAATTAACATGAAGAACAATTTTAACAAATATAAAATTATTAGTATTTCAATGGGAAGTGTGGGCCTGCTTGTTATTGCGTGCTTTCAAGTCATTTCAAACAGGTTGACCCTGAGCGAGGGCCGGGTAAATGACCTTGGAGGGCTATATCTGGCTCCTGGGCCT